ACGAACCCTATTGATAATCGGTCAAAATTTAGACATAGCTCCCATATATATCTTCCTCCAGTTTGCCTTTTATTGTGCACCAAACGTGTAATATCAGTCCGAATGCACGTACGATCAGATTGGACCTGAAAATAAGTATGCTAAATTTGATCGCAATCGGTTCAGATATAGCTATAGCTCCCATATATATTGTTGATCCGATTTTATTTTTGTCCTCCGCAGCCGTAATAAGCACTCTGTAACAACAATATTTGGGGAAATATATCAAATACAGCTCAGAAATACCTTTGCTAAATTTTATCGAGATCGGTTCAGATTTGGATATAGCTTCCATATATAACTTCGTTGTGCACCAAACGTCTAATATTTGCCCAAATTGGATGGCTTTGGCACTTACGACCGAATTGAGTCTAGAAGCTAGTATGTCAGTAGTGTGCTTATGGGGATGTTGGGAATTCACCACGATTTACCACGGCAAATTCTATTGGGGATGTTGATTGTTGTAAATTCACCACGGTGAATTTTAATGGGGATGTTGTCTTGGGAATTGTACCACGGCAAATTCTATTGGGGATGTTGATTGTTGTAAATTCACCACGGTGAATTTTAATGGGGATGTTGTCTTGGGAATTGTACCACGGCAAATTCTATTGGGGATGTTGATTAGGGTAAATTCTCCACGGTGAATTTTAATGGGGATGTTGTCTTGGGAATTGTACCACGGCAAATTCTATTGGGGATGTTGATTGGGGGAAATTCAGCACGGTGAAATATATTGGGGATGTTGTCTTTTGAAATGTACCACGGTGAATTATATTGGGGATGTTGTCGTTTGAATTGTACCACGGCAAATTATATTGGGGATGTTGTCTTTTGAATTGTACAACGGCAAATTTTATTGGGGCTGTTGGCGTTGGCGTTGCTAGTTTTAATATGAACTACTAGATGGCGCTAAGTTTAGCGCAGACACAATCCAAAACTGTGTATGGGATGGTGAAATTTCAAGTTTTAATATTCACCACTAGCAGAGACACCCTCCGAAAAAAACTGTATTATGATCATATCGAGTGGGGCTAAAGAGATTCACCATGTGAGAAGTGAATATATAGCAGAAACACATCTGAAAGAGGTAAGTATCCAAGAAAATCATTTTATCTAGATGGCTCTCAGAATGCTTTTGTATAGTCAACATGCTGATTACTGCAGTCAAATGTGCTTATTAATTTATTTGAAAACATATATTTCAAGAAATCGACTTCAATAAATGTGATATATTATAGAAGAGTTTCAATTGACAAATATCCTGCAATTATTGATATATCAGGGGTTTTAATTTCAGCATAGATTAAAATATAAATGAAAATATAGACAAAGAAATGCTCTCACCGTTTATTGTTGTGAAAAGTACGTAATGACATCAAAAAATTCCGGAATAATCAAGTGAAATTCTTGAAAAACGATAACGAAGTCGAGTGGGTTGAACACGAAAATCAGCATGTTGGCTATGCAAAACATGATGAGATAAAAAGACAAAACTAACTTTTCGTTGTACTTATTGTTCAGTTATTCCCATCGAATGTTCAGTTATTCCCATCGAAACGATATAGGCGACATCTAACGGTGAGTTCTATCTATACTATCCATAAATTATGTTGTAGCATAGACACACTCCAAAACTATTGAAATATGATCATATCGAATGGGGCTAGAGAGATCCACCATATGAGGAGTGAATATAGCAGAGACAAATTTGGTTAGTATCATAGTCAACAAGAAGATGTGTGTTCTATTATTTTGTCCAGATGGCTCTCCAGTCATTTCCCTCGAAACGATATAGGCGACATCTAACCACCAATTAATGTTGTAGCATATACACACTAAAAAAATGCTGCTGTAGCCAATCAAAGCAAATTCTTCTTGTGTGGACAGGCATTTTGATACATTATATCGATCGCTTTTTGATAGTTTTGTCGATGAAGAATTTGTTTACATTATGTAGCAATTTGAGAGAATTGAAACTGAAAGAGTTTCATGACAAACCCTGCATCAATTCGGTATTGAAGATTGAAGGGATTTGAAGAAGGAAACACCATTGTTTACATTAACTAACAATTGGATTTCTGGGAAATGGATATGAGAATTTGGGGGGAAGCGTTGTTGCAGAGTTTCATGACAAATTCTGCTTCAACGATAGATTGGAGCATGAATGAGAACATGCTTAATTATGCTCAAAATTAAAAACTCTAGTAACTCTGTAATATTGTGAAATTCGCGTTAAATATTCGTATATATAGAAGACAATTTCAAGTAAGGCTCACAGTATAAAATTAAACATTGAAAGTGATATTATGGCGAACGCAGATTTAATAAACTTATTCAATTCTTTCAGTTATAAAAAAATAATAACTTTGAAAGAAATGGAGGATAACAAAGAATACAACATCCATGGCGCCTTTAGAACAAATACAAAATATGGGGAAAGAATTGTGCTGAAAATTAATGATGCTATCCTCTATTTGCCGTCAAGATTCCTCTCGCTGGCGGATGAATACATAAAAGAAATAGCTGGTGGGGGTTATTCTGTGACGAAAACTGTGTTGAAAGATGGAAGCGGAAAGAGTCTTTACAAACTAGAATTAAAACATTTGGATCAACCAGATTATTTTTATCAACCATATTTAACATAAACTGAAAAGTAAATAAATATTTTGTTTGAAACTAAAAATTGCAAGCTGTTAATGTGTGCAGAGAAATATTTCAGTTTATTAGTGAAGCTTTAGAAAGGAAGATGTCTCTTCTTAATAAGGAAGACGAACGCTTAAAAACCTTTGCTCGCTGGCCTTTAAATTATCCAGATCCCAAGACAATGGCTGCAGTAGGACTTTAATATACTGGAGTAGGAGATATTACCAGATGTTATTTTTGTAAAGTAAACATTCATAGTTGGGATCAAACTGATTGTCCTGTTACTGAGCATTCAAGGTTGACATATCGTTGCCCATTACTGGAAGGGCGTGAAACAACTAATGTCCCAACTATTTCAAAAAATTGGAATTGTACGCCTTCTGAAATTGGTGTAGATGTTTGTGGTCGTGGAGCGAGTAAATGTTCACCCATTTTCTTATTATTGTTCACTTTCATTACCTTTAATGCTTTAAATAAAGTTTTATGCAAATAATACAGTTGCTTGTTTTTATTTATTAACTTTATTAATTTCATCGTCTAGTATGTAGCCAAGTTCTTTCCAGTTTTGTTCAATGAATACAAATATCTTAAATATATTATTTACGGCACACTTAAATCTAGTGTCCAAATGTATAGGACAGTTTGTAAAATAATTTTGGCAAGCTCGAAGTTTCATATTATTTTCTAAATTTATAATGGTAGAATGAATATATTTCTGTAAAAAGATTTTCTTTTCTTGTCCAACAACAAAAATATATTGATAATTGTTCAATGGTGTAAGAGCTTTCTCGACATCATTATAATTTTTTTCTCCATCCGTCCAATCTAAGCCATTCACATGTGTCTTGGTGTAGGCATTTGTTCTGCATGCTTCCCCAGTAAGTTCTTTTATATTAAAAGGTGGACGAAACAAAAAATAATCTGGAACAACAGAAGCACCACACATATATGATAGTTCTTACGAAAATACTCTTGTGGTTTCCATGGCAATATTGAAAATCAACCAGTGCAATATCCGATCTATTGATTTCAATCATCTTCTTAGGAAAGTTGAATTTGAATGGAGGGGATATCATCGATGTTGGAGTATTTATACAATTTTGTTCATGTCCAATAAAAACTTTAAACAAAGATGTCCACAATTGTATGTATGAAATCGTTGATCTCTTTTATAATTGTATGTAATAGCTGGTCCCAAATAACGTAAAACTTCTATCGGGGGTTGAAGATTACCGAAACTGTCGTAATAGTCGATATTATTATTGATTTTATTATATGCCACCCAATGCGTGCCAGGTCCACTGCTAACATCCAAATTTATGATACCACATTCAATTCGATGTGGTTTCTTAGGTAGATTATCACGCATATAAACACCTCTAAAGTGAGGTATATATTTTTTCCCAAAAAAACTAATATTTACTGTAATGTTCAAATTTTGCCACATTATTTTGAGGATGAATATTCAACCTACTCTAGGCCACGTTCTACTTGAAACTGGAAGATTTAAAGGTGGAAACAAAGTAATATTATTTTTGAACTCAGTTTGGGACTATGGGAGCCTTTGATAGTGCTAGCAAGCAGTCGGGTTTGGGGGAGTTCGTGTCCTCATGAGTCAATTTATTCTTCCGAACATAAATAAAAAATTTTATAGACTCCCTAGTTTACAAAAGAACTACTATTGGATGGCTATGATCTTGACCATGTACTGCAACGATCAACCCTAGAATATAACAGTAGGCTCTCCAGATATTCGCGGAGGCCTAGCCTCTGTACCCTCCCAACCACGGTCTCAAGGCTATAGGTTGTTTGAGACCCCAAAATCATCCTTAGATTCCCCCTAGCTTACCTCACCATCGTAAGAAAATATATCGTGACTTTAGCAATTCATCTTGAGTAATAACAAGATGTATTTAGATAAATATGGAATTTCATTTATCAAATAAAATATATATAATTATGGAGAAATTCATGAAAGCTTAAGTTCTAAAAAAAATCTTGATTCATACTAAATTCCATGGGAAATTATATATATATGTACATCAAATGTATAACGGATTGAATATATCCTTGCTAGTTCTTCAATTTTTTTAATTAAGCATTTGATTATTGAAATTTCTTGAATTTTAAAATACATTGAAAGGAATTTTGTATCAAAGATATAATTTAAGATATAATTTAACAAAGGACATTTTTTTTTTTTGCTTCGTGAAACATACAATTCTGGCAATCAATTGATTTTGGAAAATACTTTTTTTTTTCTTAAAAAAAATCACTAGCTTATTACAGAAATTACAAAATCTAACTTATCTTTATGCAAAAAGGATAAACAAAAGGATCAAAATTTTTTTTACCATATGAATAAGTGTCAATAGAAAAATTAATTTATAGAAACTACTAAAGGATTGATTTTTGATGTACTGACAACAGATCCTTGATCCTTTCGTTTTATCCTTATTCTTAATTCTGTTTTTTTTTTTGATATGCAAATATTTTAAGTTTTTGTTAAATTCATTTGTTTTTGGTTTTTACTCACTTTTGTTTTTTTTATATTTTTTTAAGAATTTTATGTTGATCCTTTTTGCTTATCTCAACACATTGTTTCTTCGCTGTACTTTGATCCTCGAGGCCTCGATGAATGCTTGTATTGCGTGTTTTTGAAGAATATAGGTGTATTGGTGCGGTTCGCTGTAGGGTTTAAAGAATTTTAGGTGTTAAAATGTTTGCATATTTGAAGGAACTCAATTTTTCTGTATTTGATACTTATGAAACTCGTTGTAATTTAAATTTTTAGAAATAAAGTATTTTGTGTCGGTGGCGGGATTTGAACCCACGTTGCTATGATTGCTGCTCACTAGTTGTGCCCCTTAGCCGACTGGGCTACTGAGCTGTGTTGGCAAGGATGGCTTCAGCGCAGGTTTTACTAGTGGATGTTACCCATAAGCTTTCCTGCTGTCCACTGATTGGTTATTAGTTAGCACGTGCAAGTATTGGTGATGGGCTTTGTTGTAGAAATGCCACAATTTCTGGATTTCAACACGTGTTTATGTTACACCGTAGTGGATTTGATTAGGTACACTCGTATTATCTACTTGTGTGGATACTGATAAATTTAATTATATTGCCAATTTGTAGAAAATATGTGAAGGCAAAATTATGTATAGTTGGTTTCTTACAATCCGCAATGTAGGTAGTAAACCAACATAAACCCTGGGATGGAATTTTCTTCAAAAGTATTTTTAGCCAAAGGAAGAGAATTTTTGTATGGCTTTAAAATAAAATATGATTTGTCCAGCAACAAAAACGGAAATCCTCATTCACGGCTTATGATATTTCCGCCGCAAACGAGGAATGTAAAATCGATCTAGCAAATGAAAAAAAAACGATACTGATTTCATGCATAATTAAGGTCACTGGAAAATCACTTCTTACCTCAGTTTTGGAATTTTAAAAATTGGGTGATAAAGAAGTTTGTGGTAGTATGTGATAGATCACGATGTACGAGTTGTCTAATAATAAATGCAGAAGGTAATTTGTTTAAATTTAAATTTACGAAAAAAAAGAACCAAAAAAAATACCTTTCATTTTCAATAAAACCACACCTTCGTAGAATTTTGGCGTATCACGCACTTAATTATGATCACGGATTGTTAAAATTTTAATTGATTTTATAAAGCAGACCAACTCTTATTATGTCTTAAAAAACACTTATCAAAATTTCATATATACTTCGAAAAAAAAAGTATTTTTTTTCTAATGGATGAATGATCACTTGTTTACTAGCCTGTTGCAAAAATGTAAAAGTCCGACGGAGATTTAAACGAGTGCTATGGCAGCGATTTAGTTGGCTTCCACTACCTAGAACGCATTTGAGTCAGGAGAAACTAAACGAAATAACATGGAAACAGCAGTTGTTCTCTGCTTAATACGGACAAGAATCGACTCTCACTTCTAACTACTACATTAATACCAGTTGCTTACGGCCATGAAGTCTCCAAAATGAACGGAAACTCATTTAAAGACAAAAAATATAAAAGTACATTTGCTCTTAGCCGGGCTCGAACCCACAACCTCACGATCCGTAGGCGCGCGTGTTACCTCCAGCCTATTGCGGATATTGAGGGTGGCTGGACCAACGCATCACTTGAGCTAATGGATTATGTCTAAGCCATTTTTTATCGCATGCGTTACGATAGAATTTCAGAAGGAAGAGATGAAGAAGAGAATTCGAAAATATTACTTCGCAGTACACTGCGTTGCAAAGGATGGTAAAGGCAACAATTTGATTTTATTCTGGGCCATAATTCACCACAAAACCGAGTAATATCGATCCTTTGGATGACGATATTAATCGGAATATGATTATAAATTATGGCCTGATGTCCTTTGCGTGATAAGTTCCAAGAAACTTACCATCGAGGTCTTCTAATTCATAATACACATTACCAACTTTTTTCTTAAATTTTGCGGGAATGAAAATTGGAGCCAGCTTAGCATTGAACTTTCTCTCAGCATTGCTTTGGGCAAAATTGTGTCGGAATATGAGTTGACCTATTGAATAAGATATTGGTCGTGTTCGCAAATTGTATTGGTCTCTGTTAGTGTTGTGCGCCTCCATTATGTTCTTTCTTAAGGCTTTCCGAATCAATTGCAATTGATCCTGTCTTTGAAGAATATCATTGGGTTCATCCAACATATTAAGGTTTTTAAGCAGAGAATAGGTATCAGCGTGGGTAACCATATTGAAGCCAAATATGGCAAAATAGGGTGAACACTTGATAGACTGATGCATAGAGTTTCTCAATGCACAACTAATGTAAGAGAGATTCTCATCCCACAGTCTCTGGTCATTTTTTAGGTAGGCTCGAATACTGGCTATAATTGACCTGTTAACGCGTTCTGACGCGTTAGCTTGCGGCGAGTATAGCGCAGTGTAAACGTGACTTATGCCGAATTTTGTCAAAAAACTATTAAAATCATTGGATTTAAATTGGCTTCCGTTGTCGCTGATGATCTGTTCCGGAACGCCGAAGGCATGGAAAATATGCTTTAGTAAAAAGTCTTGAATGGGTGCGGAAGTGAATTTTTTTAAAGGGCAAAGCCAGTGATACTTAGTGGGGTGGTCCAATACGATAAAAATACCAATATATCCATTTTTGGACCTGGGATAAGGCCCTAAAATGTCCACATATAACCGCTGGAAAGGTCGAATGGTTTGTATTGGATTACCCATATGGGGCTTAAGGACATAATTTGGATGTTTGGTGGTCTTGCAAGTTTCGCAATTGCGCACGTATACCCGGACGTCTGTTACCATGCCAGGCCAAAAAAAATTACGACGTAGCAATTGTAAAGTTTTTCCCATTCCACCGTGAGAAGCGACTGGAGAATTGTGAAAACGAATTAGTAAAGTTTGTCTCATTCCTTCTGGAATCCAAAGCTTCCAAGCTGAACTTTCTTGGGCGGGGTCACCAGTGTAGTGGTCTGTGCGAATATACACAAATTTTCCCAGAACTTTTAAGTCTGGATATTTTGTTGGATTATTCAGAATCTTTTTCTTTAAATTTTGATAATCCAGGTCTTCAAAACAAGGGGATGATAAGTCTATTTCTGGTTCTATGTCTTCCAACGCAGAAATTTCTTCGACATGAATCCTTGATAAAGCATCAGGAACAATGTGTTCTTTACCCTTACGATGGCTTATAGAAAACTTATAGGGTTGTAACTTAAAAACCCAACGGGCCAACATACCCGATAAGTCGGATTGTTTCATGAGCCATAAGAGCGAAGAATGGTCAGTAACGATCTCGAAATCTTGTAACTCAAGATAACATCGGAATTTCTTTATAGCCTCGATAGCGGCTAGACACTCGCGCTCCGTCACGCTATAATTGCGCTGAGCTGTGTTTAATTTCTTTGACATGAATGCGATTGGCTTTTCATGTCCCTGGTTATCTATTTGAACCAACACTGCCCCAATGCCGTAATCCGACGCATCACAATGCAAGTAAAACTTTTTGCCAAAGTCGGGATTAGACAATACAGGTGCAGTGGTTAAAAGAGTCTTAATTGTTTCAAAAGATTTTTGTGCGTCAGAAGTCCATTTAAATTTGCGCTTGGTGGACAGAGTTTCTGAGATAGGGAAGGTTATAGATGAAAAGTTTTCTATAAATCTTCGGTACCAACCGGCGAGGCCCAGAAAACCACGAACTTGCCTCACGCTTTTTGGTACCGGCCAATTAACTATAGAGTCAATTTTCTCTGGATCTGTTTGGATACCTCCATTCCCAATCACATATCCAAGGTATTTTGTCTGAGTGACACAAAACTGACTTTTATCGATGTTGAGCGTTAAGTTCGCTTTTCGGAGCTCTTGAGCAATTCGTACCAGTACAGAAAGGTGGCTACTGAAATCTTCGGACACTATAACGATATCGTCCAGATATCCAAAAACACAGTATCGCAGATCTGGAGGAATAATCATATCGACCAATCGACACATGGTCTGAGGCGCTGTACAGAGCCCGAAAGGCATCACACAAAACTGATACAGTGGCTTTCCGGGCACTGTAAAAGCGGTTAGAGCTTTCGATTCCTCTGAAAGGCCGATTTGCCAGTAGGCATCTTTTAAATCGAGCTTCGTTATAATATTTGCCTGAGGCAATCGGGCGAAAATACCCTCGATACTTGGTAACGGATATGCATCCTTTTTCGTCACCAAGTTTAATTTTCGTGCATCTAAGCACAGACGTACCTTGTTCGGTTTGACCACAAGTCGCATTGGCGATGACCAGGCTGACACTGATGGTTCGATTACACCGAGTGCGAGCATCCGATCGATCTCCTTGTACATTAAATTCTCTACTGCGGGAGATGCCGGGTAAAACCGTTGTTTCACCGGCTTCGCCTCTCCGATGTCTATGTGGTGAGTCAAGTACGAAGTTCTACCAAGACCTTGCTTAGAACAATTTGGAAAAAGATCAATAATGGTCTTTAATTGGGCTTGTTGACTCGAAGTCAATGGGTATTTAAAATCTTCTGAGCTATCGGATGGAATAATTTGCTGGTCTTGAACACATGGCGGTAATGGTACTTCTGCGTTGGAATTACAAACAGAAGATTCTAATGCCGATATAACGGATGAAGAACCTGACGAATTAGGGGGATTACAAGTAATTGAATTGTCAAAAAGGTCTGGGGCTATAGAAAATACTCTCCAAAAATCTAAACCTAAGATGAGACGTTGATTTATGGTTGGTACTATCAATAGTTTTAATTTTTTGACCACTCCACGAAATTCTACATCAACCCATAAAGATCCTAATGTTTTTTGTACGGTACCATCAGCTGTTCTTACTGCCAATTTATCTCCTGTGAACTGTGAATATTGAGAGAAATCTTTTGTAGCTAAATCAGAACCTATACAAGAAACGTTGGCTCCGCTATCTAAGAGGCCAAATTCGGTTAGATCTAAAAAGGTTACTTTAGCATAGAAACGTCTGTCCGTTGGTCTAGAAATTATGGTGGAAATTACAAATTTAGAAGCATATTTTCGTCTTCGGTAATACCCTCTAAGTCTACGAGTAGATCTCTTTGGCCCTTTATGTGGTTTCATTAAAATTTCAGAGACAGAAAAAATTCGATTCCTCTTTTCCATATAGGTTTGATATCGCTCATGGAAGGGTCTTATCGGGTATAAAAGTCTGTGGTCATATCTAGTGGTTGTTAAGTCTGGTTGAATTATGGAAATTTTTGACGAAGATTCGATTATAGATTCATTTGAATTTGGTGCTGAAGGTACTACGGTAGATTTGGATTCGGGTTCGGACCTATCCCGTTTTTTGAACTGCTACCAATTCTTCGGTTAGCGCATCTTGCACACTGTGGATTGTACACATTTTTGAGACCACATCCGTAGCAGAATACAGTGCGGTCTTCGAGACAGTCGTCCCAATAGTGACCAATCTTCTCACAGTTCCAACATTTTACCTGTGAAGTATCTTTTCTAACAGCATCAACGCATATATTATTACTGACCTCATGGGAATCTTGTTCTTCATATTGAACTTCAGCAACGTTTCTACGAGGATTTTGACTACCAATAGAAAACTGGCTTTTTTGAGGTAATTGTTTACGGAATGAGTCATCATTCATGAGATTTTCTCTCATTTGTACTAGTTTTCGTAAGTGAGCAATGCTCAAAATGGGGACAAATAACAATTCGTGGCGAATATCCGGCCTGAGATTTCGGACAAGAATTTCTACCATAGATTCTTCTTCAATTGGATGTCTTAATCTATCCGCAATTGCACTGATGGAATCATAGAAGGAATCAAATGATTCGCCAGACTTCATTTTTCTAGACCTAATGGATTCCATTAAGTCAAAATCGGAACGCAAATCTTTAAATTGTGTACGCAAAGCCCCACAAAATTCTGTCCATTGGATTGAATCTACCGTTTTATGGTATCTCCAAAACCAATCTTTTGCTTTTTCGGTTAACAGAATCGGAATGTTTTTACAAATGTGGCTAAAATTTCCATTTAGGTGCTCTTTTGTCAGAGTCCGAAGACGGTACAAAAATTCGTCTACTGATAGCCCACAATTGGAACCATCGAACTGTAAATTCCAATTCTGTATTATAAATGTGACCCGATCTGGTCGTCCAAATTGGGAAGATTCTTCCGAACAAGATGGTCTAT